TTTTTTTTTTATTTTTAGTATCACTATCAAATGCATTTGATCCTCATTACAGGTTGGTGTGAGAGCTGAGGGACTCCAGGAGGCCCTTCTGAAAGTCCCAGCAGCCCCTGAGGATGCCGACAGGATCACCAAGATGAAAAATGTTTTGAAGGCTGTAAGTTTAAGGGCTCATTAAACTGCTAAAAATGTACTTCTTTTAAGAATGATGTAATCAAACCATGTTTGTATTATAGAAGAAACAATGAATAATTTATTGTTTTATTCCTCACAGCTTTCTCAGTGGAGGGCTACTCCATCAAGGCAGCCCCTGGCCTCCATGTCTGTGAAACTCTTTGGACAAGAACTTGCATTTGCTGACATTGATAAAGTCGTTGTTGATCAGATAGTTGAGGTACATCATCTGCTGCTGTTACATACTGTATAACTGCTAAATAGTAATTATACTGTGAACTGAAAACCTGATGTCTTACAAGCCATTGTGTGTTTACAGCTGGCCACTGGACCTGGAATTCACTCTAACAGCAGAAAGGTTTTGGATGCTGTGCTGTCTGGCGTTGCACTGAGTTATGTTAAACCAATGCTGCTCGCTGAGCTCCGTCGCATCCTTCCCACTACTGTTGGTCTACCCATGGAGTTGAGTTTCTATACTGCTGCTGTGGTTGCTGCATCTGTTACAGGTAAATACCACAGGTGCTTAACTGATCAGAAATACTGATTTATAGTGATGCTAAAAAGATGTTGGTTTTTCATAGCACAAGCCACCGTGACACCACCGGTACCCCAAAACTTCCATCTTGCCCAGCTTCTGAAGTCTGATATCAATGTTAGGCTTGCAGCTACTCCAAGGTAAATTTGCTGTAGCTTGAATGAGCTTCTCATTTACAAAAACCCTAACTATAGTCAAAAAAATGTATCATTCAGGGAGATAAGCCTAAAAGCTTGTATTGTCTGTCCCTTGCAGTGCTGCCATCCACACATATGCAGTTATGGGCGTGAATACTGCTTTCATCCAGGCTTCTGTGATGACAAAAGCCAGAGTTCACACAATTGTTCCTGCAAAGATTGAAGCAAGATTTGACATGACTCAGGGCAACTTCAAGTTTGACTTCCTTCCTGTTCCAGGCATCAATAAATTGGCATCTGTAAAGTATGTACCTTTTCCTTGCCACCATGGAACATGTATCATCTGGTTCTGAAATTTTGTTAACTTGAAACCACTTTTGTTCAACAGTGTTGAGACTATTGCTGTTGCAAGAAACGTGGAAGACCTCGCAGCTGCCAGAATCACACCAATGCTTCCAGTTGATGCCGCAACACAAACATCAAGGACAGCCCTCTCTTCAAGGATTTCTAGGCTGGCATCCTCTCTGGCTGGTGGCATGGTGAGTTTGAATCACTGACCACCTTTTGCAACACAAAATCCAACACTGTTCCAAAATAATTTGGTGATCTCTTTTGTGGTTCTACAGTCAGGAGAATCATCTGAACTCATTCCCAATGAACTGTCAAGAAGATTTGCACACAGGCTGAAAGCTTTCAAGATCCGTGAGAAGAAAATGTGTGCTACACTTGAAACCTTAGGACTCAAGGCATGTACTGAGATTGAATCTCATAAAGTGGCCTTCATCAGGGACAACCCACTCTACACCTTAATTGGAAGACATAATGTCTCGGTTGAAATTGCTCCAGGCAAGTGAAACTCGTTACATTAAATTACTGATAAAGGTTATTTTGTAAGAAGCTGTTAAAAAGTCATGTATCTATTTATTTATACAATTGCAGCTGCTGGACCAGGCATCGAGAAGATTGAACTTGAGATTCAGGTCGGAGATAAAGCGGCAGAAAAGATCATCAGAGTGATTAACGAAAATGATGAGAAGGAAATTCTGGAGGACAAAACTGTCCTGATGAAACTACAGAGAATCCTGGTTCCTGGTCTGAAAAACAGCACCTCCAGTTCTCGTTCTAGCAGCTCCCGTTCAAGCACATCCTCTGTGTCATCCAAGTCTTCTTCCAGTTCCTCCTCTCGCCACAGTAAAGGTGATGCTGTTGCCGCCAGCAGCAAAAGCTCCAGCAGCAGCTCCAGCAGCTCCAGCAGTTC